AACCACAAATGAAAAGAGTTGAGGGGGGAGGAAGGCCTGAGAGCCAGGACTTCCTGGCAAGTTCTGTCTTAAAATTATACATTAACTAGGCGCATTGTTTTGCAGGCAGTAAATCCGTTTGAGAACAGATACATCGATCCAAAGGCCAAGTCGCTAAAGATCCTTTTCCAATGCACTTTATCTGACAGTGTACTATGTACACAGGCAAAGGCTTCTCCTTCCATTGAAGGAAAACCGGAAACCCAAGTAGCTCCCCACAGAAAGCAGCACAGGCCTGCAAAGCCAGAACCCCCATTAAACCAGCACCGGACTGTGTACAGAACACCATTCGTGAAATCCTCATTCCCATTTTGTGTGACGTGGTTTAGGAAGTTGTCCGAAGTTAAAGGACTAGCAAGTCTCCAAACTTCAGGACTTAAATCAGGAGCATGGACTTCAGAGTTTGTGAGGGTTCAAGGAAAGAGTGCAGGCACAGCACACAGGGGTATTAATGGAAGTTCGTCCCTACAGGAGGTTCAGGGCACGCTGTGCTCCTGAGTCATCTGTCACTGGAGGCCAAGTGTCACGAGGGTATTCCCTCCACACGGCTTGGGCAAGCTGAGCCCCACAGGAGCTGGAACCCCCAAGAGGACTAGTCCTCATCTCAGGAAGATGTACGCACGAGCTTGGGGTACAGCAGCGACTGAGAGACATACACTGTCCTCCCAAAATGGGCATCCCAGTGCGCACTACATTCATGTGTTATAGATGGAATATTCAGATATTATACGTGCTATGGAGGAAAATAAGGCAGACATGGGGCGGGGGGAGAGGGGGCTGCAATTTTAAACAGCGTCCAGAAAAGGCCTTGCAGGAAAGGAAAGGTGGCTTTTGAGGAAAAACATATATATGTGTTTTGTTCATGTATATCTTTATATGAAAGAAAAAAGGAAAAAGTGAAGAATGGAAAAGAAAACTCCACGCTGTGAAAGTTGTATTCTGGTTCCCTAACTCGGAGCTTTCCTTCCTGTTCCCCACCCCTGGGGTTACTTCCCCTCCCCCTTTCTACACTCCACACTTAGAGTCCTTTTTTAGCAACACTGAAAGGTTTGAGCAATTTACTGCTTGGGGACAGTCTCTGAATCAATGAAATGTCAACTGACTTGTCTCCCTTGCCCCAGGGTACATTTAGCAACATCTCGAGACATTTTTGATTGTCACAACTGGGGAGGGCGGTGGGTATTACTTTTTCCCAACCAAGAATTACCAGAATCAAACTGCCAAGGTCAGAAAAACCCTAATTTAAGGGGAATTGATCTTGACCAGAAATATCGAATTCAGTGTTAGAAAACAAATGAGTTAGAAAAGGTTATCTAATTTAAAATATTGACTATCATTTACATGATAAAACTCTTATCTACTTAGCCTCCAAGTGGTCACGAAGACACCAGATTCTTATCTACAAGGTATACTAAGTCCTTTCGTTTCAAAAGGTGGTCACAGATCACAAAGTTCCTGGAAGGGAAGGGCATGGATTCAGCCACACTGGCTGAGACTATACCCTGTACTGGGAAAGTGGGGAGAGGACTAAATAATTTGAAAATCACGCTTTATTTTCCACTAACCTTTCTGTGAAAAGACGCAGGCTCCAACAGCTTCTCAGCACCCTACACCTGCCTGAGTCCTCACTTAACTTACATTTTAGCCCCAGCACCAGGCTTGTGCACAGTGGGCCAGAATGAATGATGACCAGTGTGGAGTAATGCTGCATCCAACGACCTAAGAATCAACAGATAGGTCTCAGTGGAAACTCACCTGGGGCCTGACTTATGTGTTAGGTCATTTTTTATTAAAGATTTTATTGGGGAGTTGGTGGAGGGGAACAGCGTTGGGGAATTGGGGAAGGGGAACAGATAAATTGCTGTCTTTTTGTTCTTCAGTTTAGTTGTGGAGGACGCCGCTTCACTGGCCCATGTTGGTATTATCATTGCGCTCTTCCCGGGTGAGGCAGTCGCTCGCCAGCCACTGGACGGCCGCTCAGGGCAACTCATTGCAGCCCAGCTCCAGGTCGAGCTGTTGTTCACTATCTTAGTTATAGAGGGCGCAGTGTCACTGGCCCTCATGTGGGATTTGAACCGGGACCCTGCTGCTCAGAGCTGGCGTCCCAAGCCAACTCTTAACCAATGTGCCACTCAACTAGTCCCTTAGGTCATTTTTTTTCATGTGAGATAGGGCCAAGTGAATTTTCAGGGATTCTCGACCTACTGCTTCAGGTCGTGGAAAAGTGCTGCTTCAAATAAGACTGAAGCAAAAAGTAGCATTAGGAATTTTACCACCAATTTTATACACACTAATGGCTACTACTGTAAAGACTAAGGCCAGAGAGAGCTTATGAAATCAGTTCCTCCAAGGAAAGAACTGTACTTAAAATACGGGAGACAGGCTACAGCTCAAACCTATTGCAAAATGATCAATTGACAATACTTTTTCAATATCCCATGTGGACTATGGTCAAAAGAGAAACTTTGGGTTTTGAGTCTTTAGAACTTTTACAGAAAGCAATCTCTGAAGCCTGCAGCAACATAATTTTATGGATTCCATTATAGCCAACAACTTCCTCCCAGGTTTCCCTGCTTCTTGCAGGATAGGAAGACATGTTATGACTGCTACTGGACAGGCAGCTCTTAGAGAGGTGTTGGATGTCCTTGTATGGTTCAATATCCCAGTGAGGTTTGAAGTGCTCAACAAGCGTTACTTCAGGTAAACATCACCACAACCCTACGAGCAGGTCCATTTTACAGAGAAGAGACACCTAAGGCACAGAGAGCTTCGGCAGCTTGCCCAAGGTCACACAGCAAGTGAGAGGCAGAGCCTAGTGTTGGCAACAAAGATAGTAAGAGCCCCAAAGGGAAGGTGAACCTGAGAAAATAAGTATCAGCAGGTTCGTGGGGTCAAGACACCTGTCACCAGGTGGAAATTCTCCCTCCTATGTCCACACCTTGGCTGGTCTGGATACTATTTCATTCAGGAATTTAGTAAGTTTTCATATTTCAGCTTCTCCAAGTCCTTTAATAACACCAAAACAAATGGGCTAACCTGTAGACTGCATCCCGTATTTTAGGATAAACTCACAGCCTCACAGAAACTGCTGTTTACTTAGATGGTGCACCCACAACATAACTCTTGGAGTGATAGGGCCTCTTTTAAAAAGGCAGACAATCTTTCAACCTGCCCATAAGGTTTACACAAGGTTTGGTCATGGAGTTATAGGTGGGGCTGTGCCTACACTGACTGGAAGGAGCCAGATAGAAAAAGTCTGCACACAGTAGGATTCCATTTATAAGACAGTCTCGAAAAGGCAAAATGATAGTATCACAAAGAAGATCCATTTGCAGTGTGGTTTCCAGATTTCCAGGGCTGGCAGACTGACTGTAAAGTACCACAAGGGAACTTTCTGGAGTGATGTAAAAATCCAATATCATGACATTGGTGACAGTTACATGACTGTATGCATTTGTCAAATCTCATCGAACTGCACTATTAAATTCATGAATTACATGTATGTTAATGATACTTCAATAAAGCTGCCAAAATATCACACAGCCAAGCTTCCGGGGAACCAGGCAGTTTTAGGCCCTGGTTCCCTTCTAGGGTCTATACTCCATTTCATCACTTCCAATTTTGTGTTGTCATCTGAATAACAAGTGTCTTTCCAACCTGTTCATGCTCCAGACCGATTAATCATAGACGCTTGCAATCGTGATTTGAAACGCTAGATAGGTGTGAACACGGCACTGAGGGCGGTGTAAAGGAGCGGTGATGTGGCAAAGCAGAGAGTACACTGAGCTTGGACTCTGCAGATATGAAATGCAGTATCAGTTCTCATGTTTACCAGAGTTTTCCTTGAGCTAATGCCACCCAGCCCGGAGTCTGCAGCTCTACTGTTTGCTTTGCCTCTTGGATCTTAAGTTTCCTCACCTGTGAAAGCAGAAGGTTATGCTAAATCTCTAATGTCCACCTCTTCAGTCATTTATTAATTCAGCAAACCTTTCTGAGGACTCACTCATAAGGCATTTAAAATAACAACAGTGAGTGTGAAATAGGCGTGACATGGAAGATCTTGCAATTTAGGAAAGAGATGGACGCTGCAACTTCTGAGGCTGGCACTCTCTTCCCGTGTCCCTCTCTCTCTCTCTGTGGACAGTCATTGGTACCTTGGCACCATGCTGTGAAGGCCAGGCCACATGGATGGGCTCCTGGCCTATGGCTGACAGCTCCAACTCAGAGCCAGCCTCAGACTTGAGATGAGTAAGGGACTGAGTGAGCATTCTGGTGGCTGCGCCCCTGCCTGAGACCCTGAGTGACAACCTTACCTTGCTGGGTCCAACCCACACCCAGAACTATGAGATATAATAAGCAAATGCCCAACCCTCCCTGTGGCATCTTTGAGGACAGAGGTTAACAGGTCTTTCCAGGCCATCACAGGAATCAGGAGGGCAGAATTACCTCTGAAATCCTTGCATTCCTTGTCCACCCACAAATACACACAGGCCACTGCATTTGCACACTAGCACAAGGGGTCCTGCCTACCTACATGTAGAGAGACAGTGAGTGAGCACTTTAGAGGAACAGTTGGCTTTTACAACCTTTTCTGCTGACCAAACACAAGCATTTCCACACCAACGAAGCAGACCTACTCTTGGATCTGTTCTTTCAAGTCTTTCTGTTATCCTGACTTCCGTCCACGAAGAAGTTTCCTTGACCTTAGTAAGCACTCCGTCCAGGCCTCGGCCTCTCCGGATTCCCACCTAGAAGGCCTGCCGAGGGCAACCACCCACTGCCCCCCAAACTCTGCACACCCTGCTGGCTGCCTCGGCCTTCACCCCAGGGACAGGACCCCCGGGGACAGGACCCCCGGAGACAAGGCCTCAGCCAGGGGAGGTCCCGCGGCGGGCGGTGCCACCTGGACCCAAATCCTGGACCCGCACCCCGCGACCTGGGCACCCGCGGGGCCCGCTCACCTCGGGCCGGTTGCGCTTTTGCAGCAAGTGCTCCAGGTAGAGGTCGGAGAGCGCCGTACGCATGCTGCCCCCACTCTCGCTCTCGCTCGACTTGAGCGTCATCTTGCCGGTGCCGGGACGCACAGACGCTGGGACGCAGAGACTATGGGCCGGGCAGACGCTGGAGTGTGAGGGCCCGGAGCCTGCGGGGCGGCGGAGGCGGCGGAGGCGGTGCGGCAGGGCCCGTCTCCACCCCGCAGGCGCCCCGCCCACTGCCGCCCTCGCCCCGCCCACTGCCACCATCGCCCCGCCCCTGGGCCCGCCAACGCCCGACCCCCGTGGAGCCCGGTGCCCGGTTCCCGAGGACCACAAGGAGGCGCAGCTCTTGTCACGGCCCCTGCGGCTGAATCCCAGAGGGGCTCCGAGGAATAAAGGAAACCGCGCCAAAACAGCGGAGCCGCCCCCAGCCACGGGCTGGTTGAGTGCACTGCCCACACCCTGGCCGAATTCCTGGGGATGGCAGGGAAGCATCCAGGGGCTGCGACTGCCGCCCTTTCACCTCCAGGCTCTACCTATAAATGGATGCGGGTACAGGACATTGCGAAAATGCCTTTAAGGCTCCTGTGCTGCTGGTACTCCCGTCATTTACATTGCTGTTCAGTGATGAAAGACCTGATTGCCTCCAACAGCAAACTGTTTTTTCTTGTCTTAGGCCACACCTTCTGCTTTAATACACAATAATTTTGAGGGATCAGTGGAAGCAAAGGGAAGCCCACATTCCTTAGGAATCCCAGAGCAGGATTCCTTAGCATCCTAATGCCTTAGTGGCGTTAAAACAGCAGTCTAAATGATAGAGTCTTTCTGAACAAAACTTTTGCTGGACTTACAGGGCTCAGGGCTGTCCATTGTCTGTAGACACCTTTACCTGATGAAAACCTGACCCCCTTTTAAGCCAAACTAGTAACCTCACAGTAGTATAAGCAGTTCATTACTCTATGTAATCTTATTTGGACCTTCCAGTAACTCAGCTAACAGGAGAAAAATCCAAGCGCAAGAATTTGGAGCCAGATCAGCCACTCTCTCTGCTAAGAGGCTGAATTCACATGATTGATAGCTCCCTTCCTCAAGTTTACCCTAAAGGAACGTGTGTGCGCGCACGTGTGTGTGTGTGTGTGTATGTGTGTGTGTGTGTGTCTGTGTGTGTGTGAGAGAGAGAAAGAGAGAGAGCACTATCAAAATTAAAAGTGATACTGGTGCAAGTATAGACTGATTGAGCAATGGGATAGATTAGAGAACACAGAAACACACCTTTGTATGTGTAGAACTGTGGTATATGATACAGGTGGCACTTTAGGTAAGTAAAGAGGGGATTTTCATTAAGTGAAGCTGGAAAATGGTTATTTGTACTGAAAGAGATAAAATTGGAACCCTCTTCCATGCCTTAGACACACACACACACACACACACACACACACACACACACAATGTATTCCAGATCGATTAAGGACTTAAATGTCAAAAACACAACTTCAAAGCTCTTGACAGGAAACATCAGCAAATAACTTTTAATCTTTAGGAGAGAAAAAAGATTTCTTAAACAATGCAGACAAATGATTGACTATAAAACAATATTGATAACTTTGTTAGCATTAAGAACTTTTAATCATCAAAAGACAAAGTAAAAAGCATAAAAGACAAGATATGCATTGGAAGAAATTATTTTCAAAACACACAGGTGACAAAGGATTCCTATTATGAATATATACACACATATATATATATATATATATATATATCAATTAATAAGAAAAACACAAGCGATCCAGTAGAGAAATGGGTGAAAAGCATGAATAAATATTCCAAAGATGGAGAAACACATATGACCAATAAGCATATGAACAGATATCCTACCTCATTAATGATAAGGGAAATACAAAGCAAGACTACGGTGAAATACCACTGTACACTCATTCAATTATCAAAATTAAAAAGTATAACAATATTAACTGTTGGAGAGGGTGTGAAACCATATGAGTTCTTGAACGTTGCTGGTGGGAGTGAAACTGGTACTTGACAGTTAAGGAAACAGTTTTCCATTATCTCTTAAAATTGAACATGCATCTATCCTCTGAGCCAGCTCTCTCTCTCTCTCTCTCTCTCTCTCCCTCTCTCTCTCTCTCCCTCTCTCTCCTTGCTCCTTCTCCTTAGCCAAACTAGTTTTCATTTCTCCCACCTCCCAGTGAAGCAGGCATTATCTGAGGACTAGCCTAAGACGAGATTTTACAGTTGGAAGATTAGTTCCCGGGTTCACTAGAAAATGAACCTGAAGCAAAACGTATGTGCTAAAGCTTTACTGTAGGATGCAATCCCATGCATGTAACAGTGAGTGAAAAGGGAAAGTGAGACACAGAAGGACGGGAAGAAAATATAAATTAGTGTGCTCCTGAGATTCCCACTGCTATTCAAGAAAATACAGCTTGTTTCTCAGTCTCCCTGGGTGCCTCCAGACATGCTATATAGAACCATGGAATCTTAAAACTGTCAAGGAAAGGAAAAATATTGATCTGCCAGCAGGTTTTGGTCTCATCTCTCACTGGTCAAAGTTCACCCAACTGGGTGTTAATTTTCCCGTACCTCTGAATTGTGTTACCTGGGTCCTGGCAGTAACTTAGGGAGTCAGATCCCACATACCACAGTTCAGTGCTGAGTCCAGAAGTGGTAGGAGTCAGAGCCTCTATGGGTCTGGTCACATAGAATTTGAGGGATAAACATTGAACCCAATTTTCCCATTTTTGTACATATATTAAGAAACTATAGTGATTGATATCAATACTTAAGAAATAGTTGCTGTCTTTCTCTCTTTCCATAAAATCTACCCATGAACAATTCAAGTGGTTTTTACTATAATCACAGAGTTGTACAACCATCCCCACTATCTAATGTGAGAACATTTTCATCACCCCCAAAGGAAGCCTCATATCCATCGTCAAATATTCACCAACTCCCCTGCCCCTAAACATTGGCAACCACTAGCCTATTTTCTGCAGGACTACTAATTGAATCTTCCACAAGGGACTAAAAAAAAAAGCCTGTCTCTTGACATTTTATAAGTACAGATTGACCCTTGCAATGGTTGGTAGCCCAAAGTCACACTATTGGGGTGCCCTAGCAAACCTTAAGTGGGCAATCTAAGTGAGTTCTTGACTAGTAGAGCCACAAGGTGCCTGGAAGAAATATAACTCCTTTCTGGAGAAGTCTTCATTAATACCAAACCTTCATTTCCATATATGTTTGCCAAGAAAATGTGCAGCTCACAGTAAAACAAAATATATCACTACTCACAAACAAAGAAACAAAGCCCCATGAATGAGATCCAACAGGAACTACAGATAACCAAATTGGACCAAAAACTTCAGACATTGGAATTCAAGGTTAACTGAACATTAGAAAATTTGTTAATCCAATTTACCACATTAATGCATTAATGGGAAAAGTCCTATTATCTCAGTGGGTAAAAAATATTCAATGTACTTCAACATCTATTCATAGTAGTAAAACAAAACAAAACAAAACAAAACAAAACAAAAAAACCCCCAACTTTTAACTAACTAAGCATGAAAGAAGCATCCTTAATCTGATTTTTAAAAAGTTATTTGTAAAAAAACCTACAACAAATATATTTAGTGATGAAAAGCCAAATGCATTTCCTTTAAGATTTTGAACAAGAGAAGAATGCCTCTATCACCACCGTTTTTTCCACCTTGTATTGTAAGTCCTATTCAGTACAGTAAGGTAAACTAAAAGTATAAAGGTATAAAGATTGGAAAAGACAAAACAAAATTGTTATTATCTGCAGATACTTATTATCTTTGTAGAATATTTAAAAAACCCTACAGATAAATTATTAACATTATAAGCTCTATTATAATAGTAAGGTTGCTGGCTATAGTCATTATACAGAAATCAATTGCATTTGTATACACCAGCAACATAGATAAAATATAATTTAAAAATACCATTCATTATGACATTTTAAATGATCAAATACCTAGGAATAAATCTAATTGTCTATTCAGACTGTATGAAGGGGATTATAAAACTATTGGAATCTGTTGAAGAAGGGCTAAAAAAATGGAGAGGTAAGTCATGTTAGTGGTTTGGAAGATTCAATTTTATGACTATGTCAGTTCTCCCCAAATTGGCCTATAGGTTCAACGCAGTTCCAATAAAAATCTCAACAGACATGTTTTGTGAAACTTGACAATCAAATTTTAAAATATGTGTGGCGTTGTAAAGAACAAGAATAGCCAAAGCATTCTAGAAGGACATGGTCAGGGGACCAGCCTTCCAGATAAGCAAGACTTGTAATAAAGCAATGGTAATTAAGAGACTGTGATGTACGCACAGAAAGAGACAAATAAGCTGATGGCACACAAGAGATACTGGAGGCAGATTTATGCATATCTAGACTTTTGGTAACATGACAGATGGTATTCCAAAGCAGTAGGGAAAAGGATAGACTTGCTCTAAGTGGTACTGGGCATATTGCGATGCATATTATCAAAATGGAAACTGAGAGTGGTTAAAGGTGAAGGCAAACACTTTATCCAAACGACTGCAATTGGAAGTTCAGAGAGAATGACTCCTTGAGCACAATTTAGCTAAAGTTTTTTATTGAGGCAAAACTCAGGGTGGAAAAACACTGGAAAAGCAAGTCGGCTGACTCAGAAGATGGATGGTCTTACAGCTTGTCTTCTTTTCAACATTCCCATGCCTTGTTCTAATCGGCCAGTTCCAGTTCAGGGTGCTTGTTGCTCAGCATCTGATTTTGCTGCTTGGAATTTATTGCTTCTTGGAATTTATTGCAACTATCTGCTTTTCTCAGTTCCTAGAACTGCCTTTAGGCACATAAATTCAGTTCAAAGTTCATGGGTAGAAAAGTATGGCTTCTCACAATATTAAAAAAATGAAATTGGACTCTACCTCACATCATACAAAAATTAATTCTGAGTACCTTAAGGACTTAAATGTGAAATGCAAAACTACAAAACTTTTAGAAGACAATATAGGAGTCTTCCTTTCTGACTTTGGGGGTAGAAAAGGATGATTTAAACTGACGCCAGAAACACTAACATAGAGGAAAATGATTGCCAAATTTGACTACATTTAAACAAGTTCCTACACTTGTCAAAATACATCATATCAAGAGTAAAAATACAGGGCCGGCCGAGTGGCGCGATGGTTAAGAACTGGCTTGGGACGCC